GGAACACAGGGCAGACCAGAGGCTCCCCCCTCACCACCCTGCGCTCGCCTGCATCGTCACAGTGATCCCACTGGGGTGCGCCCCCTCAGTCCGAGGCTGCCTCCCGCACCAGCCTCCATGCTCCCTGCTAGCACGTGCTAGCACCTGGCCCAGGTCTGGCCGGGCACTCGGTAACATCTGGGGAAAGAAGGAATGGATGCACACTCCCTGAGAAGGGGTACAGACTGCCGGTTACGAGCTCGAGCACCCAGATTTGAATCCCAGGGCTACTACCTACTACCAGTGGGAGCCTCGGTTTCCTTGTCAGTAAAACGGGGCAAACAGGCACATCGGCCCTCAAGGAGTAACGCCAGGGTTAAAGAAGTCGGTGTCTGTAAAAGCCGGAGCACTGATCAGCTCAGGGGCAGCAGGTAGGCAATGGGAGGGGGAGACGGACTTTCTTGATATTCTAGAAATTCCTGAAACCTGGGACAATATACCCAATAATCTGGTGTGGCGGCTGACTACGCACCATCAGGGCATGATTATGCCCATCTGAACGCCAGAGAGGAGCCTATGTACTGTGCCCCGGTGGCCAAGGGCCTGCAGGAGGCAGCCGCAGAAATCAAAACCACAGACCTATTAGGAAAGTTCAAATGGGAAGCCGGCTCTTTGTCTCGCCTTCCAACTGTCACCCTGCTGGCAGGAACTGAGGCGTCCGCTCCATCAGACCCGGAATCTCTTCTGCTCTCTGTGTGGAGGTCTGCAATTCCCGCTCCTCCCCCTGCTCTCACCTCCTCATGCTGCCTACCAGATACCTCCCACACATCCCTGCCAAGACTAATTCATGTGCCTCAGCTACTCCTACTGCAAGTTTTCTTCACATTTCACAAAGCAAACAGTCCTAGCGAGACTGGGTGGGGGTGAGGGGAGAAACATCCAATAACATCACAGAACAGCCTTAATAAAGGATGTTTGCATTTCAGGGTTCCCTGTAATGTTCACGTCGGGCATCGTCTTGCTTCATCTGGAAGGTAAGTGACTGAAAGGAGGGCCCCTCCAGAGCCACGCTCCCCAGCAGACCGTCGGGTGTATGCATCGGAGGTAGCCCCCAGAGCAGCAAAACCAGACACAGACACAAAGCTGAAGATGACTGGGGCGGGCACAGCTCGCTGGCCATCCCAGCACCCACTGCCCACTCTCTTCCCTCACACAGCTTAACAGCTTGACTACAGAAGCTAAAAAGCCCAAGCCTGCTTTCCTAGTCTCCCTCGAAGCTGGGGAGTAGCCACCTGACACAAGTGGGGCCAAGAGAACATCAGTGGAACTTCGTTGGGGGTTTGTGGGAAAGTTCTTGCTTTCCAGGTAAAAGAAACAGTCACTCGCACTGCCCCTTCTGCTTCTTTCTGTCTTGAATGGAAATGGGATGTCTGGTGCTGCAGCAGCCATCTTGCGACCATGAGGTGATAGGCAGGAAGGAAGGGCCGAGAGAACCATCGAGATGCCAACTCAGAGCCCAATCCTGGTTCAGTCCCAGCAACTTGGGCCTTCTTGTGTGGGAAAAGTCAACGACCATTTGTTTAAGCCACCATTAACTCGGGTTTTCAGCTACTTGCAGCTGAAAGCATTACTAACTCATCCTTCTCTCTATGGCAGGACCTCCTCCCTGATTGAACACTATTTCTATCATACCAGGTTTTAAGGTAGATGCCTTATCTCATTTGATCTTTGAAGCTTCAAACCCATTTAATCCAAGTACCTACTATTTGCACATCTCTACTCAACAGTCTCAGGGCCACTGCATACTCAAAAGGGTCAGGAATACGTCCCTTCCAGGACTCCCTATGGCAGTCAGTAGCATATTCATCCACTTCGTGTCCAAGTCAGGGTCCTTCTTGCTGACGCCATCTCCTATACACTCTCATCCAATAGATTCTCAAGTGCTACAAATTTCACCACCTGAGTATTTTCCTAACTTGCCCATCTCTCCCCACTACTCCCACCTAGTCTAAGTTATGCACGCCCAGACTACTGTAATAGCCTCTTAACTGGTCTCTTTGCATCTACGCTTGCTCTTTCCACAGTGAATTTATAAAAACACAAATCTGACCATGTCTTTCCCTTTCTTGGAGTCCTTCCATGGTTTCCCATGGCCCCCATGATAAAGTCCAAATCCTTAAGACCTAAAAGAACTTGCCTGATCTGGCCCCTAACCCCCAGCTTCTCCAGCCCTACTGAATCTCTCCTCTTGGCTCTCTGTTTCAGTTATACTGTCATTCTTTCAGCTTCTCAAAATCATCATATACATTTCTATTTGGGGGCCACCACACACGATAGTCCCTATATGAAGGAGCTCCCCTCCAACTTTATGGCCTCACTTAACCCTTACTCATCCCTTTGCAACCCAGTGATTTTCTATTTCAGATATTGTACTTTTCTGTTTTAGATTTCCAGTTCTTTTTTTTTTTTTTAAATAGTTTCCATTTCTCTTCTGAGATTCACCATCTGTTCACTCATCATGACCATCTTTTCCTTTAAGTCCCAGACCATTTATGTAACAGATGTCTATGGCTTTATTTCCTAATTCTAACATCTGGGTCATCTCAGGACCTATTTATACTGGGCTGCCCCCTCTCCCTTTTTTTCTCTTGATTATGGGCCACAATTTCCTGATTTTTCACAAGTCTAGTACTTTTTTATTCTATGTGGGGCATGCAAATAAAAACCAGCCATGAAGAGAGTCTGGATTATGTTGTCTCCCTTTAAAGGTGCTGAGTTTTGTTCTGAAAGTTCCTTTCAAAACCATCGGGTTTACTTTTATTTTTTATTAAGTTGAGTCTGTTCTGATTTTGTCTTTGGTCCTAGGGTATCATCTATACTTCTAACATACGGCCTTTTGGGGGTCTCAACTGCGTACTTCTGGCTGGGCCATAACTCCAAGATCTCTGAGCACTGTGCAGTCCTCTGGTATCTGAGCTCCTCTCAGTCCCTTTGTTAGGCCTTCTGGAGTCTTGCTCTTGTGCATGGGCAGCCCTCAGCCGAGGACCTGCAGTGAACACAGATTTCTGCTCGCCCCTACCACTCCCACACCACTCCCTCTTCTCTTGATTTTCAGGGCAAACCAAGTGCCGACCTCCAAAGACAGCTTTTTCAATACATCTGCACAGGAGTTCAGCAAGAACCAGGTGAATCACCATGGTAACTAACAATTTCTGCTGAACAGTTGAAAATTCACAGCTGACAATTGAAAGAATAATGTCCCTCAATTAGGTTATAACATTTCCAACTGGAGGCAGAGGTCAAAAAAGAAAGAGCTAATGAGATGGCCTTTCCCACGATGCCTATTACAGAGTCATCTGGAGGTGACCTGGCTTCCCTCCCAGTAATGCAGTGGACCCCAACTGTCAGCAAACAGGGGCTCCCACTGCCTGGGATGTTATAGTAACAATGTCTTCAGCTTTGTTTTTCTCAATCAGTCTCTCGATATTACCATGTGCTTCAAAGGAGCAAGGCATTGTGTTAACAAGTTCTAATGGGTAGTTTTCCAAATCCATATGCTCTTCTCTGCTACATTCTGAAGAAGATATCATGGGAAAACTGCCTCACTGAAGACCTGTCTTTTGAGTGAGAAAACTGGAGGTCATATATCCATATGGCACTGGTATTGTGAGCTGGCATACTGCGGTTCTAATTCAGCCAAGTTTTGTAGTGATCAGTGGTTATTTATAACTTTGTGCTTTCTTGGCATTTAAGAAGTACAGTGTTGGATCAGACCCAAAGTCTATTTCAGCCCACTACCGTTTCTGACAGAGCACCCCAGGGGCTACTACGGCTGGGTATAACTATCCTTCTTAAGGTGACTACCATGGCAGAAGAACTACCATGGCATGAAGTCACTGGCCTTTCAAGATGTCTTTACCTTTTCAGATTCTGTTTATGTCCAGTCTTAAGCGAAAAACTATGGGGATCAGCGAAGTGTCCCTGATTGGCTCTAGTCATTTCTCTCTGGAGTTTCAGGGAGTGATCCCTCAATTCCATATCCTGAAACTTGGTAAGCTCGGAGGGTATTTTGCAGAAGTGGTTCTGGCATACCCAGAATGCATTCTGCTGCTCAGGCTGTTGATAATTTAATAAGTGAGCTCCCTCTTTAAATGGCTGGCTTTGCCTTCAATCCCTGAACACAGAAAAGAGCCAGAAGGTACCTTAAAAAACACTTGGTCCCACTCACTCCTTTTACTGATGAGAAAACTGAGCCTCCTGACTCACACCAGTTCACACTATTAATCAGGGACACAACAAGAGTTAAAGTCAGAGCTTTGGCTCCTAGTTTAGTTTCTTTCCACTCTGGTCTTCCTTCATGGAGACCAACCATCTCGTGACTCCTTTTACTTTATTTTTTTAAAAGATTTTATTTATTTGAGACAGAGAGAGAGAGAGAGCATGAATGGGGGCGGAGGGGCAGAGGGAGAAGCAGATGCCCCCCTGAGCAGGGAGCCCACCCTGGGGCTCGATCCCAGGACCCTGAGGTCATGACCTGAGCCGAAGGCAGGCACTTAACCGACTGAGCCACCCAGGTGGCCCTCTTCACTCCTTTTAGATGGTCTTCTCTGGACGCTCTGGAATGTCCTACTATCTTTCTGGAGGTTTTACCAGTACTATACAGATGAAAATACTTTTTTCCTTTCTAGCTTTATTGCTGATATAACTGCAAATAAAGTTGAACATTTTTTGCCTTCTATGGCAGCACAATGATTGAGTGTATTGAAAGGTCAGCAAACAATGGCCCCCAATGACCCCCAGGTGCCATTCCTGACTTACTTCTAAAACACTCAAACCCCTCGCCCTCGCAATGAGTGACCTGGAGGCTCATGTGCTTCCAGTCTGCACACCCACGGCTCCAAGAGCCCTTCCTAGAGTTTATTCCCAACGGTGAGGCTCCAATACCCAGAAGACCTTGGTGTGGCCTCCCAGCACAGACAGCATTATGGGGGGGCAGGTGGGGGCAGCAGGTGGATACTCACCTTTGCATAAGCAGTTGTCTTAATAAACCACTGTCGGAGGTACTTCTGCTCCACCTTTGCTCCCGAACGCCACGAATAGCCATGTTCATCCACCTGCTCATTGGCAAGCACTGTTTGATCCACTGGGTCCCAGTTAACCAAGGCCTGTTATAATTCATAGAACAAAATGATGCCATCTGGTGAGCATATGGAATAGGGTCATCTCGAGGTTCCTTACATGTGAGAGGGTCTGCAAGTGCAGTATCTCTGCTCAGAGACTCGAGGGCATCTGCTTGGGAGGACTACTGGGCAAGGAAACCACCAGCACATTGTAAAAAAGGACAGAACACACGAACTACCTCTGTGCTTTCATCTTAAAGCAGGCTTGAGAGGGAGCCCATGAGCATGTGCCTAATCAAGTATGGTATCTTCTGGTGTGAGAGGATGAACCTGCAGGATTGGGGATTTTAGTAAACAGAGGAAAAGGGAAAAAAATGGTACCTGGAACTCAGCAGAATCAGGTTATTTAAGGGGAAACAAATATATTTATTTGAATATAAATAACTAACATTTATTGAGTGACTACCACACACCAGATGCTGTGCTAAGGGCCAAACTAAGGTTGGCTCTTCTAAGCCACGTTGAGGTAAGAATATTATTATTACTATTACTATTACTATTACTATTACTATTACTTGTAGCAAGAATTACTATCAAACTCCACTCATTGGGCCAGAGACCCTTGTGGTGTTAGCAAAAGACTTGCCCCTCATGTAGCACACCACCTACATTTTGTGAGTTCATCGGCCGGCCAGTGGAGGCGAGAATATTACTGCCCCAGTGTTACAGAGGAGGAAGTTGAGGAACAGAGAGATTAGATAACTTGTCTGAGGTCACACAGTAAGTGAGAGAAAGGGCAGGAACTCAGGTCTCTCGAAATTATACAAATTTTTGCAACTTTTAAAAACTCCTGTTTTTGTTTTGTTTTTAAAGACCGATTTATTTATTTGAGAGAGAGAGAGAGTGTGTGTGAGTGTGTGGGTGGGGAGGCAGAGGATTCTGCAGAGGCAGGATCCCAAGCAGACTCCCTGTTGAGCTTGCAGCCCGACGCGGGGCTCAATCTCACCACCCCGAGATCATGACCCGAGCCAAAATCAAGAGTTGATGCTTAACCGACTGTGCCACCCAGGTGTCCCTAAAAACTCCTGTTTAAATTACGGTAGAACATACAGAGAGTAATGTGGATCAATCAGAAGTATACAACTTCACAAATTTTTGTCATCGCTCATCATCAAGATACAGAACATCCCCAGCAGCCCAGAAAATTCTGTTGTACCTTCTCCTAAATCAGTATCTGCCCCTGAAAAGGTAACAATATTCTGAGATATATCCCCAGAGACATGTCTGGCTGACTGAACCATAATGGTCTTAACCATCAGGAAGCTTCTCTCCAGAGTTCTAATCCGTTTCTGTCATCATTTAAAAGAAATACCTCTGCTGTCAATGCTCATTCCTTTATGACATTAAGGTAAAACTTAGGACAAAGAAGTCATTGAATACAAATGAATACCATGACTCCAAAGAAGGAGATGTGTCCAGGCACTAAAATATCCTGATCTGATACATGTTGTTTTGGTTTTTTTTTTTTTTAAGATTTTATTTATTTATTTGTCAGAGAGAGAGACAGAGACAGAACAAGCAGGGGGAGCGGCAGGCAGAGGGAGAAGCAGGCTCCCCGCTGAGCAGGGAGCCCGAGGCGGGACTCGATCCCAGGACCCTAGGATCATGACCCGAGCCGAAAGCAGACACTTAACCGACTGAGCCACCCAGGCGTCCCAATACACGTTGTTTTTTAAAATTTTTTTAAATAACAGGTGCCTGGGTGGCTTAGTCAGTTGAGTGGCCGAACCTTGATTTCGGCTCAGGTCCTGATCTTGGGGTCATGGGATCGAGCCCAGGTCGGGCTCTGCCCTCAGCAGGGAGTCTGCTTGAAGATTCTTTCTCTCCCTCTCCCTCTGCCCCTCCCCCTGCTCACGTACAAGCACTCTCTCAAATAAATAAATCTTAAAAAAAATTTTTTTTTTAAAGATTTTATTTATTTATTCATGAGAGACACACAGAGAGAGAGAGAGAGAGAGAGAGGCAGAGGGAGAAGCAGGCTCCCAGCCCGATGCGGGACTCGATCCCAGGACTCTGGGATCATGACCTGAGCCGAAGGCAGACGCTTAACCATCTGAGCTACCCAGGCGCCCCCCCAAAATTTTTTTTTAAATAAATAAAATTTTACTAAGCAATTCTAAGAAGAGATTATGCCGAGCATTGCCCATTTGCCCCTCCAAATCCTCTTTCCACCCTGGTCTGCACCGTAGGCAGCTGATCTCTGCACCTGCATTCACCTGGACCCTTGCCCTACACCTGCGCTCAACCAGTGAGAGGCACCCTGACATCTTCCCAGTCGGGCTGTGTCTGGCGGTCCCAAAGGCCATGCAGCCTCTGCCACACAGGACTCTGCTACTGCTCTCCCAGTTCCAGTAACGGCCCCTTCAGCCTGGGCTGGCAAAGGCCTCCCTCTGTGGCCAGCGCCAGGGGCTTGACCACTCCTTGTGGGTTTCCCTAAACTCTGCACAAAATCAGTCCTTTCATCACATTTTCTTCAATAACTGCTTTCGGGTGTGCCCTTTATTTCCTGCAGAGCCCACGACTGATCTAGAGATACAGCTAAAAATCAGGAGTGGAGGACAGACTAACCCATCTATGGGCTGTGCTTTTACAACTAAAACATAGTACATCCATGAAGAACTGAAGCCTGCAGAGCACAGAGGCAGATGGGGAAAGGTATGCACTGACAGACATTCTCCCTCTCATTCCACAGTCCCCGAAAACCTCGAATCCATAAATATAGAGAGACAAAATATAAGACAAAAGTATCTTAGATCTAAAAACTTAAGGTCAATAAACTAAGGATCACTGCCTATATTAGGGGTTACAGGGTTACAGGGAGGGCTACCACTTCACGTAAAAGATAAGGGGTGCCTGGGTGGCTCAGCTGGTTGAGTGTTGACTCTCGGTTTTGGCTCAGGTCATGATCTCAAAATAGGGCTCCACACTCAGCAGGGAGGCTGCTTGAGAATTCTTACTCTCCCTCTGCCCCTCCCCCACTCACATTTCCCCCTTTCGCTTAAATAAATAAAACTTTAAAAATACAGTAAAAGATAAAACGAAAGGGCCAAGTATTATTTAGGAACACGGACAGGTCTTTCAAGAGCCCCCATCCCCCCAAAAAAGATGTACAACTAAAACTGTATAAAATAGAGAAGAAAGACAGACAGACAGACAGACAGAAAGAAAGAAAGAAAGAAAGAAAACCTCCGAGGATATGGGAGAAGTAAACAGCACTGCAGATTGCAAAAACAAATAGGACTCTTATTTTCTTATCAACATTTCCCACACAGCCTGGCATCTCGCAGACTCTAGGTTACAAAATACAATGAGGGAGATGTGCTCCGAAGAGGTTTATACGTTCTAATGAAACCCTGGTATTGAATGAAAGACAAATAAAAGCAAAACCAATTTTGCCCCCTGTGAAAGTCTTGTGGGGAGAGGAAAAGCACCAAAGGAAATAGCATCTCAAATCAAAAATGTATCAGCTGGGAGAACCCATTGACGTTTCTTCCCAGGACAACAATCCAGCCCATCCCCAGACCTGCAGGGTTCAGGTGCAGCCTCTCCACAAGTGGTTAATCCAGGGGGTGGGCCAAATGCAGGGCCACCGGGGTCCTGGGTGTGTAGCGTGTGCAACCTGGTGAAGTCCCCAGGACCTGCTTCCCAAATCCCTTTTCTTGGGTCTCCATTCTTATAAAAGCCTCTATCATATAGCCTCCCTTGAAACCACGGTCTTCTCTTATCCAACATTCCTGGATCTTCTCGTCTTGAACACTGACTTTGATGGACACCCTGATTTCTACTCAAGCGCAGTCTTGCTACCTTTAATATCGTTTCTGGACAATGTCCCTGACTACGGTCATTTCCTTTCCTTTCCTGGCCGACCTTTGTTTGCCATCACCTACTAAAGCCACCTCTGTGTTCCCTTGGAGTTAACTAGCCTTATTTGTAAAACATAGCCCGTAGCCGTATTTCGAAACCAACCTTAAATCACTAAATGAATAAATCAATCCATGAAATCATGAAAACACCTGCAAACACACTGAACTCTGGGAGATTCCGCCCACTGCTTCCCTTACTTAAGTTATCTGGCAACATCACAGAATGAGCCGTTCCAAATGAGAGAATTTCCCCAGCTGATCAGGGGTTAAATACCAGGATTCATATTTTTTGTTTGTTTGAGTGATTTGTGGGAAGCTTTCAGAAAGGCTTTTTGAAATGTGCCCTGTGAAACAATCATAAACCTCAATCAGCCAGTGCACAAGGGTGACGGTGGGTGTCCCAACATTTCTGCCCCTTTCTCCCTTCCCTTCTTGGCCTGTAGGTTCTCAGAGGTGTGGGCGACTATGGGCTCTGTTGGGGATTCTCAGGGTATTTTCATCTTGAATTCTCATTTATCGATTCTCTCTGTGACACAGCAGCTGTGTGGTGCCTACTGCCCCGGTGAGCCTCCTGTTCCAAACCTCCTGCTTTATCTCATCCTCCCCCTTCACTTGGATCCTCCTTCCCCTTCCTTCCCTGGGCCTCACCCTTTACCGAGAGCACCAGTGCCTTCTAGATCACACCTTCCATCAGCAGGCTTTCGTCTCCTGGAAACCACTCCTCAGGCCTTTGGCTACTCTCCATCGTTTTCCATGCCGCTTATTCCTTGGGCTCTGCTTTTATACCACCAAAAACCTTTCCTGAGTATGCTGTGAGGCAGCTGCAGGTTCCAGAAGGATGTTTTAGGGTATTGATTTTCTCAAGGTCCATTAGCATTTTTCCTGACAAAACCACGCCTCATTAAGGAACACCACATAGATATTATTAAAAAATCAAACTCTCAAAATCCATCTTGCTCTATTCTATCCAGAATGGACCTGAGTTTGGACTGAGTCCGGAGGGCAGGGTTTCCAAGGCAACCGGTTATTTACTGCTACTACCTTCCACCGCCACGAGGGGGCAGAGCGGGAGAGGCTGCCCGTGTGCACACAGTGTGTGGTCCTGTATGCTCCAGGAACCTC